ATGTTCTTTAGAAAGCAATGGAACAAGATGATGACTTCTGAACTTATTCTCCATTGCTTCTTTATCACAGCCACACTATAAAAGCAGATTCCTCAGGTTTCTTTTTCTCTGAATACAGAAGAAAAATAATAAAGGTCATACCCACCTTTTTTCAAATATCTCTGCAAAACACACTCTAACTACTCATACAAATTAAACTCTGGATTGCCCAAGGTTAGCTAATAAATTGTGTGTTCATACGCAAGCAATCTTGACCTCCAGATTTTAGTTCATTTTACTGAAGCATTTCTTTTTCTTTCAATAAATGAAGCATTCCAGATTTGGCTCTCTGCAACTCAAAGAGCCCCACCATGAATGTACAAGTATTATTCACTACTATCTCATCACAAACAACAAAGGGATAAAGCTGACTAGCAGAAGAGTAAGAGATTATATTAACATATTCCTTTCTAAAGCTTCAACACATCAAGGTAACCAATAATGAATTTATAAAAATAGAAATGAAAGTCCATCAGCAAAGTTATAAAGCAGACTGATTTCACTGTTTTTCAAATTCATCCTAAAATACTACTATATGTCTGGATGCTTTTTACTACCTCACACAGGACTACAAAGAGTAAAACCACAAAAAGTAACAGATCAACTCCTAAAACCTTGTTTATAAAATTGAGATTTTTCTTTATTTTATGCTTACTACTCATTTGATTACCTTTTTTCTTTTAATACTGCAAACTAAAATGTAAGTTTTCACAGTTGCATAAAAGGACAGGTGTTACCAAATGAGAAAAAGAAAGCATTTGTGCTGAAGTTCTTGGTGGGCTGCTCCTCAGCGCATAAGACAGCACAGAATCAGGTACTGGTCATGCACAGATCAGTACAGGCACACTGGGATCATTCCTTTGCACTGCTATGTAAAATCATTACATGGACCATCACGAAGATGATCACCTCTCTTGCCTATTCCGAGCTTTCAAGAAAAACTATTCATTATTCATAATTGTCTTCTAATGGTACTTCCATTCACCATACAGAGAGCCATTCTCAGGAGCAGTCTTCCCACTTAACTTCACTGGCTGTGGCATTTCAGCCTTGTCCTACAACTGAACAGCTGGGCCAGAAAAAGCAGCATTTGCATGTGGCAGTATAAAATAAGCATGTAAAAGAGCTGAACACCATCCTAGTTTTGAAAGGTGGTTTCCAAACAGATAGGTATCATTAAAGAGGAGAGCATGCAGAGCTCATGTCACTCACCCATGTGGTCTCCAGCTGATGACCTTTACAAAGAACAAATCAATACTAAGTGGATTCTGCATCTACTATTTCTTACTGTGTATGAAAGGTCAAGCAATTTTCATGTATGTATCAGTTCTAACATTCCTGCTTCCAGACACTGGACTGTTTAAACAAGGAAATAACCAAAGAATGCTTATTTTGCATATATCACTGTTTCAGAACATGTGATAATTTAAAAAGAGAGTTGGACCTTGTTTCAGAGACAAACTATGATACTCACAGCAGGAATGTAAAGCTTTATTTCACTATCATGAAACGATCTCTAAAAATACACTGTAGATTAAGTTATAAACAGCATTTATAAGACTGCTTCCTCAGCAGAATTCAGTACTACCTGTATGTTTTATGCTAAAGTAATTTTGAAAAATATTAAGCTGTTTCATTTATTTTACGCACGTCTGCTGTACCTTTTTTCATATTACATGCAGGCCACAAAGATTATTCTCTTCTTGTCATCTCCTTTAGATGGCACATTTTGAGAGAGACCTCTACAGAAAGACATGGTTTGGTTCTATATTTAAACTTGATCCCATTTAGCTCAATGCCAAATCCTTTTAGCTTCAGTGAGAAAATTCTGTAACACACATTACCATAGCTTAGGAGATTCCTGGTGCACAAACTCAGCTGAAATTTGAGGGCTTTTTTCCCCTCTTACATTTCAATTCCTAAAGTAAGCTTAAGTTTAATGATTCTCAGCACCTGATGTTCAAGCACAAACATCAAAACTCCACTAAATTCAACAATACTGTTTGACCAAAAAAGGCACTCTGTTGGGTATTTTAAATGCACCCCAAATTAACACTAAAACATCATTCTGGCTCTGGTTAGGACACAACACTGAACTATTTGGATATTGCAAGTACAAGATCTACAAGGACAATGTTTTAAAATATTCAGAAAGCTAGTATTTTAAGATGCTTGCATACGGGGAAAAAAGGTTATTTAATACTCAGTCTAATGAATTTCTGAGTTGCATTATCTCTGCAGCATCGTAAGGAGATATTGCCACTCACATACTTTAGCCGTATGGAATGGAGCAATGGCACATCCAAACTTCCGTAAGCAAGGTCATAAAAAGGGTCTATAATCTTTTTATGCCTACATTTAATACTTTTAAGAAAGGTTTATTACAGTTCTTGCTTCCTCTTCTCAACATCATTCATGATTAATATAAAGATTCGCACAACATTAAAAATCTCTCCACAGTTCATTTCAGATGAAGAGAAGCAATGCTTTTGTGAATAAAATAAGGTTGCTTTTTATTGTTCTTGTTGTACTTGAGTTGGTCAAGAGGTAAGCCATTTTGATTATTTTAACCTTGTAAATTATAGAAAACATACATTGGCTCTAATATTTAATTATTCTATGTTCTAACAGTGCTTTCTGCCAGTCAAACAAGTACCAAAGCAAAAACAAATGATAGTTTTATATGGAGGAAAAGCATACATTGCCAGATTAGGAATGCTTATTCCAATGCTGTAACTAGCAACATAAACAAATCCAAATCAGCAACTAAGTTTTGTATTCATCTTAAAGATCTACTGCAGGGACCAGATGTTCTTTAAAAGGTCCCTTCCAACTCAAACCATCCTATGATTCCATATTACTTGCCCATGGCATCTTCTCAGAAAACTAGATTAAAAAATTAGAAAAAATAATCATAAGGTCACAAAAGTTGATCACAGATAAAAGTTATACTGTATGGTGCTGTAACCATGCACCATAAGCAGAACTATAAAGGAAGCAAATTGTTTTAAGGTTTCTGAAATTACCCATGGAATTATTGTTTCATCAAGGAAATCTAGCCTGTGAGCTCTGATATAGGACAAAACTGCCTACCTCCCTCTTATCATACTGCTTATTTTGACTAGCTGCAACAGCATGGTAGCATAGATATTTAATACACTTTTATTGGCTTTTAGATAACTGACATACTGACAGGTTTTAGGGCATTTTCTTTCCAAATTTTTAGAACTGTGTCTTTTTTATGATTATGCTTTAAAAAAACTTTTATTGGGGAATAATTGCAGAATTTCTACAGGACTAGCTGGCAAATTACATTTGCAAAACTGAAAACGTTCATTCGGATGCAGAGGGCTCTTCATTTACTTATTTACTTTCAAGAGAAAACAAAAAAAATGCAAATACTGGTATGCTTATGGCATCTTCCATGCAGCTCTTATAAAAGTCACTTAAAAAAACAGGATCCAAGGTAAAATAAGGATGTTGGCTTTCTGTAAGAAATCTAGACATGTTCTTTCTTAAAGAAATCTTAAATATATGAAAAAGGTCTATTTCTTTGTACCCTGTCCATGAAGTGCATACCGTATTATAGAAATTATTCCAGAAACAGCTACAAAGAACACTTTCTAGTGTACCTTCATCAGAAAAATGATCCCACAGCAACACTGAAATATTACAGCAAATTAAAACCACAAGTTGAACACTGCATGTGATCACACAGGCAAGCTCAGCAGACTGTGGGGCTGTAGGTACTGCTGTACGTGGTCATAAGCTGTTGAAGACAGCCCTTCCTTATAGACTCTTTCCATTTCACTTAGGCTTGTGTTAACAGGTTGTCTTATCCTGCTTGGCATAAGACAGAGTTGTGAAAAAGGAAAGAATACTTCTTCAGAACAGTTAGGGGGAAAAAAAAAGTTTATACCCAGCATCATCACACAGCTAAAAATCTTGTGATTTTGTTGATTGTTTTTTCTTTTTTTTTTTTTTTTTTTTTTTTTAAATACACCCTTATAAAAGGACACTCAGAAAAAGAAAAAAAAGATGTAAAGCAGATTCTTTTCATTCAAACTCTGAGCACTACTATGCTATAGTTCCACTGCTATTGATTTGAATTGTGTGTTTTGGAGAAAGGTTTGCTTTCAAGATGATGATAATAAAGCAATCTGTGACATTTTTCACCCTGGGCAAAGAGCACCATTAGAAGTAGGCTAATCAGCTAATCATTGCTGCATATGCATGCTTTGACCAGAGTTGAAGACGTATTTTATAAAATAGCAAGAGGTACATAAAAAAACCTCAAGATGTTAAACTAAGTACCTTCTACATTGTGTACTTCACTTTGTGCAAACCAATGGAAAAAAATTTCAGCATATTCTATTATGAACTAATGTGAGTACAGTTTTTTAGACATTCAGTTCCTTCGTCATGATGCTCAACTGTACCTGATTTATCTTTTTGCACTGTAGTGACAATAAACGAACTTTAGAAGCTATTCTATTTCAGTAGAAGTATCTGTTGTACAACTATGTACACATTTTTATGCTTTCCGTGAAAAACATACACTTTCTTTTTATAAATTACTCCAAACCACTACACTTTAAATAAAGTCATCTGAATTTCAGCAACGCTTTTGCACTCATTCCACTTTACTATCTCCTTTACCATCTTATTAATACTCACATTTGAAACTCTAAATACTAAGCCTTAATTAAAATTGTAGACTTACATTACAGTGCTAATTTAACAATGGGAATTGGAGAATTGGGACATCTGGGAGAAAAAGAAATAGATCATCTCGGACTGCATTCAACATTTGACTGCCTGAGTGCAAGGTATTTTCTGTAGATGTGACAGACAACCCTCAGAAAATGGCATCACATCAAAATGATCCAAACAGCACAGGCCTAAACAAAATGAAAAATACGAAGTGCATCACACAATGTCTGAAAGAAAGATTATTCTACCTGCATCGGACATGCTCAATTGTGTCATATGTCAGTTTGCTGCTGATGTTCTGACTATGAGGGTTGCCTAGGAGACAATGAAGAAATAGAAGTTAATCATTAATCACAACTTAGGTACTAATTTTTTTTTTTTTCTAACAAAGTATTACACCAAGCCAGCCCAAAAAAATGACAAAGAAAGATTTAATATATACTTACAGCAATGCCCTGAAGCTCCTTGGAACAGTTAGTCAAGAGACAGAACATTAACTAAAGAAAGCAATTATGACAGACCTTGAAACTTCAGCTGTATCTGTCACTAGTACTTAGGCAGTTCTCTTAAAAAAAACACAACTGTATACGTACAAATGGGCTAGCAAAAAAACACAGACAGAATGCACATTAATAAATACATTCAGGGATTAAAAAGTAATTTAACAGACATCATATGGAGACAGCAGACATTCATGACTGGATGCCAGGAATGCTCCTATTTCTAGTGTCTGAAATACAACTAGTTCATGAAAAATAAAAATTTCACTGTAACATCAGTGGCCACCTTAGTACAGCTCAGAACAGACAGAAGTTAATAAGACAGTACCTAAGGGCATAAATTTACCTCCGCAAGCAAAATAAACTACACCAACATCCACATATGAACAACACACTTTCCTTTCAATAAATCCTTCGAAAAATACATAAGCATTTTTAAAAGAGAACAAGTTAGTAATTAATACATCTTTCAGTAATTGACAATAAAATCTACTTATTTTAAAATTTCAAAAACAATGGAGATGTTACAAAGCGTGTTGAGTGAAACTGTTAAAGAGAATAATAAATTCAGAGCTCAAACCTAAGATCTAGTACCTAGACTTTTTTTTATGTCTGATGTTGCATTTCTGTGATTTCCAATTCAAATATTCTCAATTTAGAAGTGAGAATCTCTTTTACTTACATCTCTTCCTCTCATTTACACATGCAATATCTTAAATGTAGTTCTTCAGGATTGTGGATTATCACCAAGAAAATCAAAAAAGTGGAAGCTGAACTTCCCCTTCATTCACACCTGTGTCCATTAAATAAACTTATACAACAGTTACTGCCCTTAGAGTAGCAGAGATATGAGTGAGGAAAAAAATATATATATTTGACCAGGCTAGGGATTACATTATCATTTTAAATTAAAGCAGTGTCAAACATGCAATTTGTTCTCACATAGCATTATAGGTACATTATAGGAAATCTGGCAGCACTACTATTTCTATTCATGACCACTCAATTGATTCACAAATTTAATTTTTTCTGCCACAGATGGTACTTCTAATTAGAAGGGCTGAGCCCAAATTTGTTTGAAGTAACTAAGATCAGAGTGCATATGTTTCACTTTGCAATGGCCACAGTGACAGAACATTAATTTTAATATCATTGACATTCACTAGCATAAGAGATTTTGCATGTAATCAAATCAATGCATCCTTTTGTAACTGAAAAAAAAAGGCTACCCCCATTAAGATCTAGTTTAAACATCTAGTTTATAGAAGAACATAAATTCACATTAGATCCTGGACTGGTCAGCATTCAGAAAATGAGGGGAAAAGACTATGAACAATGTTGTATGACAAAGTTTTGCCAAAACTCCCCAGTGGCTTATCACCCAGGAGATAAGCACAAGCATGCTGGTGCTTTAACAAACACAGTTTTATTTTGAAGAGTGATATCTAGTTCCCAGGTGAGGAAACACTTTGCTCAATGGATCAGGGAGCAAAAGGAAGATATAAAACCAGTAAAAAGGACATCTAGCCCACAAATACTAACACACAATAAGAAATTTTGATGAATTCAGAGGGTCTACTAATAGCATATATAGGTAATACAGCAAACTAATTTTTTTTTTTCCTCCTGGATGAGTCTCTTCTAATGTAAACTGTGTCTCACCATAACAATAACTTCCAAACAAAGAATGTTGTCTTCGTTTAAAAGCACAAGCAGCATGGCATTCTCGCAGAGATGATAATGTCCTGAAGAGACTGAAGAGTTTAAGTAGAAGATCTGGGGAAGAAATACTACTAGGTAGCACTATAGTGCCCACATCTAAAGCCTTAATAACTAGATCCCCATCCAGATACTGTGTAATTACAAACGTATCAAATTCACATCCCTTTTTCTCAGTACCAAACTGCAGTGGACCAGAAGAGGTTTAGCACCTATTCTCTGCCTAACTCCACTCTAAGTTAAGCTTTCCTTTAAAGAAAATGTTTATGATGGACCACAGTCACAGTAGAGAGGGTCTACATAGCCGAGTCTCACACAAGTGCCAGCAACTGCTGTGTACTTCTCTTGTTTTTATACTATCCACCATCTTCTGCCAATTTCTGTCAATCTGTAGGCCGGCTTCCCTCACAATGTGCAAAAAGAGCAGCAGCTACCTTTCAGTGACAACCTCATGTTTACGTCCCTTTGTCCACATGAAAAAGGGCAAGATTTACAAGGGTGAAAGCAGCCCTGGACAATGGCAGGAGCGCAGCTCCCATTTGTCTGCATCCCACCACAAAGACACGTCCTCAGCCACTAAAAAGCAAAGCAAGGGAGATCTAAAGAGATGTGACCTCTCTGTAAAATCACTGGTCTTCCAACTGCACTATAGCAGTGTTAAAAACGCATCTTCCAACAACTCAGCAAGACTAGTTTTCAACTACTTAGGTAGGATCTGGAGAAGAATAATGGAAACATTGATTCATACTTACTATAAACATTGTTTCTGAGGTCATCTGTAAAAGCTTTAAGTAGACTTTCAGGGAAAAGTGTTGAACCTGCATGGTCAAGGTAAGTTATCCCTAAAACAAACAAAAAGATCAAATTCAATGTTTTTTCTTAAATATTTAATTCTAATTTCTCATATACAATAAAGTACATTATACACAGATCCACACTGAAGTACACAACACAAAAAGTTGTTTTCCCTAAAGCCCCTAGCCTATGACAGTTCTCTGCCTGACTCAGAGGTCTGCCCAGATTTTGAAAAATGCTTCTCAAATACATTCTAATAACCAGGCAATATTCACACTGAGGCATCTTCCATTCACCAGCACAGTTAGAAAAAAGCAATACAATAGAAGCCCAGTGTTTTGATTGCATCTTTATAATTTTTAACTAAAAAGCTAAATAGTATAAGAGATCCTTTTCTTCCAAGTTCATATTACACGTTATTTAAAAAGTCCCGTCTGTAGAAGACTGCACAAGCTAGTACCTTGAACCACAGTACCTTGGCACTACTAGACACTATTATTGTTACCTCAATAATTATTAGAAATATCAACAACAGTGAGGTGTTGAGTCTGCCGATGAAGAGGCAACAACCATGTTAATTGGCCATTCTTGAAGCCCAAAGTTTAAAGTTTTAATGCAGTTAAATATTCCTTGCCAGTCTGCTGCGCTCAATGTTTGATTCCTTTTTAAAATTCCTTTTTCTATTATTCAGTTATTGCAAAACTTTTAAATAAAAGCTTCTTGGAAAGGAAGGCTTTCTTGTGTTTGGCCATTTTAGATTTCTTAATCTTTAGCAATTATTCTTCCAGTTCTCCAGTGTGTTGCATGCCCTTTATTAGTTTTTTCATTTCACTTACCTTAAGTATTTCAACCTATTTCAAATTTTAATAATGATGAATATGATTAAGATTAGAATTTAATAAGTATTTTAAAAGCCTTTCCTTTCCACAGGGATTTAAAAGTTAAGCTTAAAGAGTTAAGCTTTAAATGAGAAGTCCTGACACTTGGAAATACATATAATTATAAATTATGTTGCTGTTGCAGTGATTCGGTGGGTGAAGCTTTGAGACCAGTAATGACAAAACCTGTCTGGACACCCTCCCTTCTCTTATTTTATGAGAGAGTCCTCCCCTGCCTCAAGCATTCCCCATTTGTGGTGTCTGGTTTAAAGCAGATTTTTTTATTTTTTTTTTAATGAGTTGAAGTTAATCAAAGAAAAGCATTTTGAGGTGCTTAGAGCAGAAGAGGATGGAAAAATACTGGACTGATTTATTATATGTACCATCTTTCTGGGTTTTTACTTTTTTTTTTTTTTTTTTTTAAATCATAGCAAGGATTAAAAAGCAGTAGGAAGCAGTACATACAATCACACAGAGGTCAAAATGAAGATTCAGAAGGCCTATGGTGAAACCTGGCTGCCCCACAGTCAGTCTGCATGGCAAATGCGAGCAAGCAAGCTTCATTTCAAGAAAGTGCTTACACAGTCATAACAAATCACACTTAACGTAGCAGACATATCCTTACATCTACACGTGTTTACTATGAATATGCAGTGCATACTATAAAAAAAGAAAAACCAATATAGAAAACTGGCAGAGAAGATATTTTCATGCTGTAACTAATGCAAGGGAAATGCATTCATTATAAAAATTGCTCTAGTGCTGTGACATGAAATATCCAATCTGCCCATTTAAAAATGATTCAGTTTCACTCATGAGATGTGACAACTGCTTGGCATCTCCCAGCCTCAGAAACAGAGGTGCTTTGGGCTGAGCAGGGCAGCTCCAGGAGACAGTCAGGTCTCTGTCGGGGGCCCCTGGAGACCCAGCATCTACTTTGCCATAACACGGGCCAGCTTTACCTTCACCAGGCTATGCAATCACACTGGCAGGATCACCACAGAAGCTAGTTATCTGCAGGACACTGGGATGTGACTCAGGACCCACAGCTTAGGAGCCAGCACATCTGGCTCTGATGCAGAACTGAAGTAGCTGCATGTGCATAGAATCACAGAATGGTTTGAGTTGGAAGAGACATTAAAGATCATCCAGTTTCAATTCCCTGCTATAGGCAGGGATGCCTTCCTCTAGACCAAATTGCTCAAAGCCCCATCCAGCCTGGCCTTGAACGCCTCCAAGGAGGGGGCAACCACAACCTCACTGGGCAACCTGTTCCAGCGTCTCACCACACTCACAGTAAAGAATTTCTTCCTATTATCTAGTTTAAGTCTACCCTCTTCCAGTTTAAAGCCATTTTCCCTTGTTCTGTCACTGCTACCTGCCCTCCTAAAAAGTTTCTCCCCAGCTTTCCTGTAGGCCCCTTCAGGTACTGGAAGGCCACTATAAAGTCCATCAGAGCCACCTTCTCTCCAGGCTGAAGAGTCCCAGCTCTCAGTCTGTCTTCATAGGGGAGGTGCTCCAGCCCTCCAATCATCTCCATGGCTCTCCTCTGGACCCACTCCAATAGCTTGATATCCTTGTGCTGGGGGCCCCAGAACTGATGCAATACTCCAGGTGGAGCCTCAGAAGAGCAGACTAGAGGGGAGAATTGCATCCCTTGATCTGCTGGTCAAGCTTCTCTTAATGCAACCCAGAATATGGTTGGGCTTCCAGGCTGCAAACATGCACTGCCAGTTCATGTCAAGTCTTGCATCAGACACACACACTCAAATCCTTCTCCTCAGGGCTGCTCTCAAGCCATTCTCTGCCCAACCTGTATTTGTGCTTAGGATTGCCCAAGGTGCAGGACCTTGCACTTGGCATTGCTGAACTTCATGAGGTTGGCATGGGCCCAGCTCTCAAGCCTGACCGGGTACCTCTGAATAGCACCCCTTCCCTCTAGCATATCACCTGCACCACTCAGCTTGGTGTCCTCTGCAACCTGGCTGAGGGTGCATTCAATCCCACGATGCCTATAAAGATGTTAAATAACACTGGTCCCAGCATTAATCTCTGAGGAACACCACTCATTACCAGTCTCCACTTGGACACTGAGCAATTGACTGCAACTCTGAAAGCAACCGCTAAGCCAGCTCCTTATTCAGCAAGTGGTCCATCCATCAAATCCGCTTCTCCCCAGTTTGGTGACGAGGATATGGGACAGTGGCAAAAGCTTTGCACAAGTCCAAGCAGATGATATCAGTTGCTCTTCATTTACCTATCCATGCCATAATTCCATCATAAAAGGTCAGCAAGTCTGTCAGGCACTAATCACCCTTGCTGAAGCCATGTTAGTTATCACCTATCACCTCATCTTTGTTTTTCTGGTGCTTTAGTAGGGTCTTTAGGAGGATCTGCTCCACAATCTTGTCAGGCACAGAGATGAGACCAACTGGTCCATAGTTCCCTCAATGTTTTTTTCCTCTTCTTGAAAATGGGGGTGTGTGTTTTCTCTTTTCCAGTCAGCAGGAACTTCACCAGACTGCCACAAGCTTTGAAGTATGATGGATAAGAGCTTGGCAACTTCATCTGCCAGTTCCCTGAAAACCTGTGGATGGATCTCATCAGGTCCCATGGACTTCAGCATGTTCAGATTCTCTAGATGGTCTCAAACCTGATCTTCACTTACAGCAAGCAGATCTTCCTTCTCCCAGTTCTTACTTCTGCTTTCTGCAGCTTGGGCAGTGTGACTAGAGTCCTCACCAGCAAAGACTGAAGCAAAGAAGTCACTGAGCACCTTAGATTTCTCTGTATCCTATGTGACCAGGTACCTAGTTTCCTTTCAGAGAGGGCCCACATCTTCCTTAGCCTCCCTTTTAACCCTGATAAACCTGTAGAATTTCTTCTTGTTCCCCTTTGTCCCTCACTAGATTTGATTCTAACTACTACTTCTTTGTAGCCCTTCCAGCCAAGTTATTCCTGCCTACACTACCTATAGACTTCCTATCTGTGGTAAGTCTAATTAATCCATGGAAGAGTCCTGGTATTCTTGCCCTCCTTCCTCACTCTCAAGATGAACTGCTTCTGGACGTGAAGAAAGTGGTCACTGAAAACTGACTAGCCTTCTTGGGTCCCTCTTCCCTCCAGGACATTATCCCATGCCAACCTGCCAAGTAGCTCCCTGAAGAGTTCATAAGTCCAGAAAAAACAAAGGCAGCCCATTCCTCCAGGAGAACAATGCCTTCCAAGCAGACTCATGTGAAACAATACAAGCAAAAGGGACTCTAGATAATAGTTCCCCTATGTGATATTTTCAAATTTGATTAATTACACTATTAAAGATAACATCGTGACTTTACTAAATAAAGGTAAAGAACACTAACTCATTTCTGAAATACCACCTCCAGGTCCATGACTTGGAATTCTTAAACTTTGTTACCTTTAATGCTGCTGTTTAATTGAAAGCAGAATTGCATTTAATACTCTCTGTACTGCCTGAAAAAATGAAAAGAGGTGCCCATATAACTTGAGACAGCACTGATACAAAATATCTTTATTACTATTGCACTTTCATGCTGTAGTTTTTCCCCTTCCTGTCTTATTTCAATAAAACTTCATTTTTAGAGGAAAGAAAAGTGCTGTGGCACATGCATAACACCTGCAAACAAAAGATCATTAATAATTTTCATTGTTTTTCCCCTAGTTTAATAACACTTGCTATTTTAACTTTATTGAACACACATTAACGAAAGATTTGTCAGTATATACAGAGTAATCTAGTTCCCTGTTTCACCGCAGTATTTGTATATAGCCTGTCAGCATTGTGAAATTACACTGTTGACAGCAAGAAGCACAGAAAGAAAACATGATCAACCGAAAGAAAATTAAAACACGCCATCTATTAGGACCTGTCTTTATTTGGGAAAAGCATAAAATTTAGTTTAATTTACATACTATTATGCAAGGAATGTGTAACTGACTTCATTGGTCATATACCAACAATTTGATAAAACTACATTTCAGAGGCAAGTTTTTTTAATAGGACTTCTGAAAACCATTCTGTATGCCAACTTTAGTTATGTTAAGTTATTTATCAACAGTATCCAATCATAAACTATAACAATCACATGCTAATATTGCAAATTATTTCTACATACAGAACACTCCGGAAACAAATGTGGACCAGTCTT